CTTGTCTTAAGCAATTAGGCGGCTTTTTTTTTATATATAAATTGATTAAAATATAAATTGAAGGAAACTAAAATTCTGTATATTAGAACGTTTTATATATTATAAACTAGTCACCTTCTTAATTAAAATTTTATAAAGAATATTACTCATCAAAAAAGCAGAAAATTTGGAAAAATCAAAAGAGTAATTGCAGTGTGTAAATTAAATAAAATAATTTTTAACACTTATTTGTTGGTGGTTTACATAAATATGACCCATCTGTTTATTTTTAATAAAGAATTAAAATTTTATAATTATTTTTATTTATTTATATACACCTTTATTTACATTATATACACTCTCTCCTATACAATTAGGAGGACTGTTTTAAGTTAAATATGTATAGGTATGTTTGATAATTTGAATTTATCTTGTTTAATTTCCAAAATCTATTGGTAATTTGATTTCTTATTTCGTGGCCTAACTATTTTGACTCAAATATGGCAAATCATATCCTATAGGGTCAAAGGTCAAATTTTTAATAAATACATATTTTGGCTTTTTCGTAATAAAAGTAATAATCACAATTGCAAACGTTATTCAGCACAGTTTGCTTTAACACAGCCCTTAAACCGTTCTACATAATTTCTATTGATGTCTGAGTGTGGAATTAATATTTTTAGATTTGTGTATGTATTTTGAAACGAAAAAAAAAGCAAAACAAAAAGTTTTTGTTTTTATTCTTTAAATCGTGTACACAAAAATAACGATAATTGTGTATTTATTAAATATAAAACAGGTAAATAGTATTTCCATTTACTTCTCTTTATGAATGAGTGCACATTTGTGTTGTTGCTACTGCCACTAACACTCTGCCGCAGCTAAAACTCTTTAAACTACTTGCAGCATTTTGTGTGCTGTCAAAAAAACTAAAACCCCACAAATATAAAAAGAATCAGTGAATACTTATGCACATGGGAAAACTTACATACTTTGGGTATGTATAATATTTATGCTATAAATCAGTGTTCGCCACAAAGAGCACATATTTTTCTAATTAGATTTATTAGGGACTTCCGGACAACTAAACATATATTTATATTATATCATTGTAATATTACCAAATGTTGGTATAAAAAATATCGTTAAAATTCGATTTATTGTTCTCGGACCTTGGAGTTTATGGCTGCCTTCGCTGTTTTTTATGTACAGGCATTGTGCATTTTGATCAATATTATAAAGATTTTTTTGAAATCAGAAAGTGTTTATTTTATCTTAAAATAGTTTTCACTTTAATTCTATGGATTTTTAAACAATTTTAGAATTTTGTTAAAACGGCAGCATTGTTCTATAATTCGACTTCTTGTACGAAATTAGGCTTAGAATACAGACTTGACTATAGACTATAGACTAGACTACACACAGTGGTATAGGAAAAAAAAAGAGGGAAATAATTCGGTAACTTCTAAACGGTTAATCCGATTTTAATGAAATTTGGTATGCACAAAGAGGAGGTGTTGTCGAGTTTAGGTTTTGAATTTGGACCTTATAGGCCAACCAGGGGCCCGGCGGGGGGTCCTCAAATTAGGACACCTCGGCTATGTTAAATTTTTAAAACGATCCTATTTCTTCATTTGAGTTCCGATTTAAAAAAAATTTCGTATATAGAATCTCCTCATCGAGCACTATAAAAAATGTCGTCATAGCAGTAAATTATCTCTTATAGTTTAGGAGATATTCGCATTTGAATATTAAAATTTTAAAATTTTTACCGTCCTTACTTTAGTTTTTTTGATAATAGCAGGTCCAAATATTTCCGATTTTCGCCATTTTTTTTTATTTGCTTAACAACAAGTTTATATACCAAGCAGTGAAAGAATTATGTAAAAATCATGACTGAGTCCAAAGTTATAGGCATTTAAATTTAAAAAATTAAAAAAAGGCGATTTTTTGTCATTTTTTTGGGAAAAAAGTATCTTTTTCTTTTTAAGTTATCTAAAAAGTTTCTAAGAAGATGTATATAGAATTTATACTTTTTGGAAAGCTGACTTTACATAAAATACGATAAATGAAACAAAACCTAAAAATTTTTGATACCGAGGGGACCAGGTCCATCCAAAAAAACCCTATTTTTTATGGAAAATTAAATTTTGAGCAAAAATTCTCAAATCGCATAGTCGATATCAAATTATAGTGACCTGTTTTATATGACCCAATAAGTTCTTAATCATTTTGTAACGGGTTTCGATAACCCCGCCCCTGGTATGGATATAATAGGCAAAAAACCAAAAAATCCCATTTTTGGGATTTTTTAAAACTTTTTTGGGAATTCCGGGATTTCTAATAAGAAAATTCGAAATTTTTATTTAATTTTGGATTTTGAGTAAAAAAATCTACCTAACTGTAAAATTTCATCAAAAAATATTCATAAATAAAATTTTTATTGCAATTTGAAAAATTTGTATCTTCGCAAAAACTGAATAAAAAACATTTTTTAATTTTTTTTAAAAAAAGTATTCCGCGAATTTTTTAATTTTCAAAAATTATATACAGTTTTGAAAAATAGACAAAATTACCTTTCCATTGATATATAACATGCCTACCTAATGTTTTTTAAGTGACAAATTAATTAGGGAAAACTCAACATCTTTTAGAAAATTTGCCTAGCACTATTATTTTCATCCATAAGGTTAACTCTTAAATTTGTTACATATATGGATGAAAATAATAGTGCTAGGTAAATTTTCTAAAAGATGTTGAGTTTTCCCTAATTAATTTGTCACTTAAAAAACATTAGGTAGGCATGTTATATATCAATGGAAAGGTAATTTTGTCTATTTTTCAAAACTGTATATAATTTTTGAAAATTAAAAAATTCGCGGAATACTTTTTTTAAAAAAAATTAAAAAATGTTTTTTATTCAGTTTTTGCGAAGATACAAATTTTTCAAATTGCAATAAAAATTTTATTTATGAATATTTTTTGATGAAATTTTACAGTTAGGTAGATTTTTTTACTCAAAATCCAAAATTAAATAAAAATTTCGAATTTTCTTATTAGAAATCCCGGAATTCCCAAAAAAGTTTTAAAAAATCCCAAAAATGGGATTTTTTGGTTTTTTGCCTATTATATCCATACCAGGGGCGGGGTTATCGAAACCCGTTACAAAATGATTAAGAACTTATTGGGTCATATAAAACAGGTCACTATAATTTGATATCGACTATGCGATTTGAGAATTTTTGCTCAAAATTTAATTTTCCATAAAAAATAGGGTTTTTTTGGATGGACCTGGTCCCCTCGGTATCAAAAATTTTTAGGTTTTGTTTCATTTATCGTATTTTATGTAAAGTCAGCTTTCCAAAAAGTATAAATTCTATATACATCTTCTTAGAAACTTTTTAGATAACTTAAAAAGAAAAAGATACTTTTTTCCCAAAAAAATGACAAAAAATCGCCTTTTTTTAATTTTTTAAATTTAAATGCCTATAACTTTGGACTCAGTCATGATTTTTACATAATTCTTTCACTGCTTGGTATATAAACTTGTTGTTAAGCAAATAAAAAAAAATGGCGAAAATCGGAAATATTTGGACCTGCTATTATCAAAAAAACTAAAGTAAGGACGGTAAAAATTTTAAAATTTTAATATTCAAATGCGAATATCTCCTAAACTATAAGAGATAATTTACTGCTACGACGACATTTTTTATAGTGCTCGATGAGGAGATTCTATATACGAAATTTTTTTTAAATCGGAACTCAAATGAAGAAATAGGATCGTTTTAAAAATTTAACATAGCCGAGGTGTCCTAATTTGATGACCCCCCGCCGGGCCCCTGGTTGGCCTATAAGGTCCAAATTCAAAACCTAAACTCGACAACACCTCCTCTTTGTGCACACCAAATTTCATTAAAATCGGATTAACCGTTTAGAAGTTACCGAATTATTTCCCTCTTTTTTTTTTCCTATACCACTGTGCTACATACTAAACTATAGGCTAGACTACACACTACACTATAGACTAGAATATAGACTACACTATAGGCTAGACTATATACTAGATTATAGACTACATTATAGACTAGACTATAGTGTAGACTATACATTATAGAAGATTGTTTCAATTATAGAAGATTGCACTTAATATTCTCAAACATTTCTACACATAAAAACTCTCACATAATTAACAACACTTTCTTAAATGTTTTTCTTCCTTGACTTTAATTAATTAATTTATCATCCATCCAATTACATTACAAACATTGTTAATTAATATCATGACAAATATTTTAAAAGCGTATTCCTGTATGAACACAAATCGAGGGGTTAATTATATGTTCAAACATAACTGTAGTTTATATAGAAAATTCTGTTTCATTTCACTTTATTGTAACACTCACTTAAAATTGAATTAAATGATAATGACTCTGATTCAAATGATAACACAAAACAAGTCTTTTGTTCATAAGAAAATGCTCGCACAAAAGATTGATGTAAGTTGGAATCACAATGACAAGAGAAGAAAGAATGAAAAATAAAGAAACAGCTGAAAACCCATATTGTTCGGTATTAAAGTTGTGCTACTTAAACGTACACATTTAGTAAGTATGACTGGCTTGACTGACTGAGTGAGTGAGTGACTCCTCCTCTGTCTGAGAAATGTTGGGGGGACAATAATAACAAGAACAACATGTGTAATGTTAACTAATTAAGATTACAAAAAGTACTTTATGTTGCTGTTTTTTGTCAAATCCAGATACATAATATTTCTTTGTGTCTACGAACAAGATTTTGTAGATTATATGGGAGTATAGTGTACTACATATTTATTTTACAAGGTCCTCTAGCTTGCGCATTCCTAACTCTGTCCCTAGCAGTACCTATCGAAAAGAATTCCTAGAACATTGTGTAAAGAAATTTCGTTTCCTTAAAACCCTAATATTAAAAATCTTAAAATTCTTTGGAACTTAAGATTCATCAGTATATATGTATGTATATTGATTTATTTCCATACTTACTTTGTTTAGTCGATGTGAAAACAGATAGGCAGCACATAAAGGCCGATTTTATCTGTAAAGAATAAATAAAAATATTACGTAAATTTTTTTTTAAAGCTAAATTATGAAATTTTTTGTCATAAAATTTTGTATTTGTTTTGGGTTAATGAACCCCCAACACAAATTGTATAAAGATTAATGGAGCAATACAAATATTTGTTTCAAATTTATGATTCACCAAATTGTTTGCTCTCATAATGGTTTTTTTCCTGTAATTTTGGTAAAAACAATAAAAATAAAATGAAATCTAGATAAAGGTCAATTACTTATATAAAAATTTTGGAATTTAACTGACAATAAATGAGCTTAGTTTGATGACCTCTAATAAAAAATAATATTTTTTTTCAGCCCACAATCATAAATATTTAAAAAACATTATTTATGGCATAAAATTTTCAATAAAAAATATTCGAAACAACTTTGCTACGATTTGCACGTGCAGGTCTAAAACGTGCAAATAATTTCATTTATTTTTAATTTTTTTATTTTACTTGTTCTTACAACGCCTAATTTCCTTTAAGACTTTCTTTTTATAGGCCTTGTGGCATTTCAAACAAAAAAAGTTAAAAGAACTTGAACAGAAAAACCAACTTCTGCAGGCTATGATGGATGAATGACGTCGTTTATTTGGTATAAAGTATAAAAAAAGTATTATGGCAATTATGGGTATAATAAGCTTAATGTAAAGGTAGGTCAATAAAACACAGGAAGACAACAAACTGTAAATTGAACCAAGAAAGAGACGCAAAACAAAGAAATTGAAAAAAACGAAAAAGTATAAATACATACAAAACTTATTTTTTAAATCTAATAAACCAAAAAAAATGTGCATAAAGTATAAAAGTCACAATAAAACCAAAATAAAATAAAGAAAAACAAATTAAATAACTGGCGGCGCGCAACGAAACCAACCTATCATCACCGGCTTCATCATCATTACCACCTGAGGGGGGAGCTCACAAAAAAAAAAAAAACAACAACAACAAATTATAAACAACAGTAAACCACCTCTATGCAGCAGTTAGAAGTTGCAGCATGTAGTACCCCCGACGAATCACTTTACACAAGGCAACAAAGTACAATCAAGCACGCTACGTCAGTCAAGCAGCCGAAGAGAAAGAGAAAACAAAAAGAAAAATAAAAACTAAAAAAAACATGTTTTAAACAAAAACCAAAACATAATACAGTGAAATCTAAATAAAATGAATTGAACTTTACATTAACTGCACTTTTTTCAATTGCAAAAGGTGAATGAACTTTACATTTTAAAAAAGCCCCATTAACATCATCTAAAATTCAGAAAAGCTCAATTGAAAATGAAATATTTCTTTTGAAATTCATAAAAGTTCACATTTTTGTCGTGAAAAAAAAATCCCTTGTTGTGAAATTTGTTGATGGAATTTTGTAAACTTTGAACAGCTGTTGCATACAGAAATAACTATTGTGAATGAATTGTTTACAACGAGTTCACGATAGCAATTTCCCGAGAAGAATGAAAATTTCAAGGGAACAAAAATTTAACTTCTTTTGGCGATAGGTGTGAATAATTTGATATTTTAATAGAATTTAACAGAAGTATTTAGCATTACATAAACTGTCACTTTATCTGCAAAATATAAATGTGAATATTACGTTAAAACAAAACGAATCCATTTTAGATTATAGTTTTATTCTAAACTCTTCTTTAAGTTTGCCCGACTTTGTATTAATCGGTTGGTGCAGCATTGAAGACAGGTGAAGAGATTTCAACAGCTGATCGCTTTTTTTATTCATAAAGAATTTGTTTCGAGGCGGTGAAACTAAATATAAAATAAAACTCTGACAACCGATATTGGAGTTTCACTTCAAATAATAAATGCAGTAAATTGGATCCAAGATTCCGAAATCAACCCACTGTGGTTCTACTGTATATGGTGGCAATTATTTGGTTACTTGTATTTTATTTTGCATGTTTTTGCAAAAAATAAAACAAATCACGTGGTTTTTCTTTCGCTTTTTTCCAATTTAAAAACGCTGTAACTGCAGTAATTATTTTTTTATAAATGTACGGTTTTTGCCATCAGACATGGGAAATTTTGTAGTATTGCAATTTTTGACATTTAAAAATTGTTAAGCGTTTTTACCTCTTGCTAAAAGTTTTAACCTTTTGATTTTCAACGTTTTTTTTTGTTTTGGAACTTGTATATGTTTAACGGAACTTGAATAGATTTAATGAATTGCTGGTTCCTTTAAAAATCTTTACAAATACATTAGAATCACAACAATGTTCCTTAGAACGATTTTCAGATGTAATGGCGACTTCACTAGGTCCAATATTTAACGATTTTAATTGTTCTTGTTTACACCCGGTATAGAACAAATCAGATTTCTGAAAAATTCCCGAATTATAGAAGTTTTTCAACAAATCCACTTTTCCATCTGTGATTTTCGTTTAAAGTTTGTAAGTAACTACCATCACTAGCAGGTTGTTATTACACCAAATTTTATTGCTGCAATCTGACTGAATATATTTTAGTTCGTATTGTTTTTGCACTTATGAACCTTTTATTTTATAATTTCTTTTCTTTAGATTTTTCCGTTATCAATAACGGAGTATTTATAATTTATTGCTAATATGAATTAAAATTTTAATAAGAATATTCTAAGCAATAAGCATTTTTTACATAAAACCGTAATATAAATTGCAAACACATTAAGCAAATATTTAATGTAATAAGTGTTTTTTTGTTAAAGTATATTTTAGCAGATTTCATTTAATTACAATACCAATCAATTGAGAAACTGTCATTGCTTTTAATTTATAGACTTTCAAATTTGAATTTAATTCTAAAACATAAATAATTAAAATGTTTAATTATAATAATCCAAGCGCCATTTGACAGGAAGACAACGACATCTGTCACTCACTGTCAAAGTTATCTTTTATTATTCAACTCGCTGATCGGAAAAATGGGTTGAATATTTAGAAACAAAATAAATTTGTTTAATATTAACATATAAATTAAGCATAAGGCACTTTGAAAACAAATTATAAATTAGTTTAAAAAGGGCTTGATCCAAATAAAAATTTACTACTTCCAATAATCGAAAAAAATGTACAAATGTCATTTTAAGTTGCAGATTTAGAAAAAACACCTTAAACAAGATAAAAGAAATGACAGTTTGTGATTGAAAAATTGTAAATGATGTTTGATTTCTTTGTCATGTTCAATTTTTCACAAGTGTCTGCTCGATTAACTATTTGTTTGGCGCTCCCTCTCTTCTTGAGACTACCTGGCGGTTTTTACTTTTTTTTCCATTTTTTTTTTATTTCAGGAGACAAATCATAAAAGACAAGTGCACATATTGGAAACTAGTTTAGACTCAAATTGCATTGAACTAAACTGAACACTAAAAACTGATGTTGGCATTAGAAAGGTTGCATTACTTTTGAATTTGATTGGATGAGTTAGTTGCTGCTTGTTTTACGTAGTTTAGATATCTTGCTGTTGCCGTTTGTTACTTCAGCTAATATTTGCGCTCAAAAGGTACTTAGTGTCGGATAAAATGAGACTCAGTCGTTGCATTGCCAGCAAATTAAATTAAACATGTACAAAGAAAAAAAGTTGAAACAAAAAACACAAACTTTAACGCTTTCACTTGCATTGGAGACCAGAAAAAATTGTTTAACTGAAAAATAAAACGTTTTGTTATCTTTTTTTAGTTACAAACCTCCTTTAGGTTTGGTTTGAGACATTTTTTCTTTTTGCAAAAAAAGACAAATTGAAATTTATGATAGAAAATTATGACAGTTTGTTTAATGACACTTTTTTTAAATTTTAAACGAGATTTTTTTTTAATAAATTGAAACTTTCTTTAAATATATATACATAGATATAGATTTGTGTTTAAAAATATGTATGTGTGAACGGAAGACATCAATTATTTGATTATAAGTTATTTCATTAGGAGTATATTTGTAAAAAAAAACTTAGTTCAATCGAACTATATTATATTTGAGTGAGTCGTCACTTAAATATTCCCAAGTAATCTATCTGGTAGTCAATCTTGCCAAAAAGTAATTTACGGTGATGTCTGAACATTATAATATAAGTATTCAAAAGCAATATATCTGGAAGTCAATCGTGCGAAAAAGTAATCTACGGTGACGTCTTTTTATCTTTAAACCAATTTCCTGGTATTGTCCTTAAGAATCCAGTTATTTTTTTTTTTTTTTTTTGAATTTAGATTAATATGGGAGTGTTTCCCTAGAAAATTTTCCATAGCCTGACAACAGACAAATCGGTTCCGATGTTTAAATATACAAAGAATACATAGATTTATCTCAAATTTTGCAAAAAAATTTCATGGAGTAAAAGAGGGGATTACAATTATTGTCATTACAATTATTGTCATTGTCATTTCCTGATTAGCTAGTTTACGTTTTAGTTTAACCAACAAGTAGAGTCATAATTACTTCTACACCACTCGTGAGATATGTATATCGTATTGTATATTAATGTATTACTAGATTCAGTCTGTAGCAGTGAGATATCATAATGCATAATTTCCTCTTTATCAATATTCTAGCAACTGCAACAGAATTCATTGAAGGAGAGCCCAGGTGAACTTGCGACCTTGATATATCCCGTCAGGATCCCAAGTGCGTTTACAATTTGGCCAATGTTTGCAGATTAGACCTCTATTTTTAGTTTTTTTTTGAAGAAAGAACCTGCATTTTCTACTAAAATGGCGTTAGATATCCAAAACAGATTCTGCCTGTTCATTTCCACAGTTTCTTAGTATGAAGGAAGGATGTATACATACATACATCAAATCCAGGTGGGAATCGAACTCTCCTCTACCATATTAAATCCTATTTTTATATCATAAAATGTTTGTATTTGATCTTAAATTAAACCGCAATCAAGATTATATTCAAAAATTATCGATTATAAAGTTTCAGAAATTTTCTTTAATCTCTCTAGAAGACCGCTATAGAAATTATATCCAAAGATTTTACAACCTTTTTTG